ACTGTTTTTCCCACAAGAAATGTATAAGTTTTCCATATTATGTTAAATGCACTTTATTCTTTGTAGACTCGGCTAATGAGGATTGAATAAGATAATATATAATTTTATTTATTTATTTATTTACTTACTATTTAATTTTGTCTATTCGAATTTAGTATAATAGAAAATTGGATGACTTTAATTTTTGTTGACAAGTTATCTCAAATCGACCAACCTAACCCAACCTGACCGATACTTGATTGTGTTGGGTTTCAACATTTACATGAGTTGGATTGTGTTAAATTTTGATTAAATCGATCGAGTTGGGTTGGGTTTGGGTTGAGGCAAAAACCGACCCAACCCAACCCATGCCCACCCCTACTTCGCGCTATGCTGAGGATTTCACACTCCGCAGAGCATAGTTTTTTTTTCCACACTCCGCGTTGTGCGGAGGATTTCACACTCCGCACTGTGCGAAGTGTTTTTTTTCCTTTTTCACACTCCGCGCTATGCAGAGTTTTATTTTTTTCCCTTTTTTATTTACACTGCTAACAATAATCTACGATAAATCCATAGCACAATAAGAGATTCAAAGTCAACAATTGTGGGTATGGGTAGAAGGAAGTCCATATTACCCTTAAAATTTGGATGAATAGTAGAGAATGGATATGAATAAAATTGGATTTAAAAAAAGTTTTTCAAATGAACAGTAAACGGTGGATTGCCTGATAGTAGTGATATACACCTTAAAGCACCTTGTTTGACCTAGTTGCCTCGTGCTGCTTGTTGGTAATTGTGGCATTGAATGGTTGGAGATTGATTGCTAGTTGCCAGTTAATTGTCCTAATGGTCACTGAATTTATGTTCGTGTTATCGATTGTTCACTGAAGTTTAAGATGTTAAGTTTTAGCCGCTAAACTTATTCAAACCTCGGATGTCACTCGTCGGCATAACATCCATTTCAAATTGTTAACGGAATTAGTAACGTGGCTAATAGAATGCACATATGACGTCTCGTCACGCTGTTAACAAATTGTCTCATTTTCGATTGCACGCTAAACTTAAAAAACAGGTCTTAGATTGCTTACTGAAGTTTAAGATGGTTGAATTTTGACTACTAAATTTATAAAAATAACATAAATTTGTTCGTTAAAAAATGTGTATCACAGAGCACGGGTCACATAAAAGTAATAAAATGGACAAACGAGATTGAGTTGTTGATCTCGGGAGAAATGATTATTCAATTACACAATAATTAAATTTAATTTTAACATATTTTTGTCGAATTTTAAACTACTTTCATCATTTAAAAAATTCAATTTTGTGTGTGTGTGTGTGTGTGTGTTTTGTTGTTAAAATTAAATTAAAATTTGGATTTTGCAATAAAATACACAATAAATTTAATTAAATGGATTGTGTGTTTCGTTACAAAAATTCAAATTTTAATTAAATTCAATGTGTGTTTTGTTGCAAAACCCAAGTTTTATTTTAATTTAATTTTAATAACGTACAAATAAATTTGAATTTTTCAAATGATGAAATTAGCTAAAAATTCTACAACATTATGTTACAATTAAATTTAACTATTGTATAATTGAGCAATCATTTCTCGTGAGATCGACAACCCAAATTCCTTTGTCTATATTATTACTTCTACAAAACTCGTGTGCTTGCGATACACATTTTTTAACGAAGAAGCCGACATCATTTTTATAAGTTTAGTAGCTAAAATTAGACCATTCAAACTTCAATAAGTAATCTAAGACGTTTTCAAAGTTTAATGAGCAATTAAAGAAGCAATAATTTGTTAGTAACGTGACGGGGAGTAACATGTGCATTCCATTAGCCACGTCTATAATGTCGTTAACGATTTGAAACGAATGTTATACCAATGAGTAATGTCTAATGTTTAGATAAGTTTAGTGGCCTCGACATCTTAAACTTCAGTGAGCATTCGAAAACACATATATATAAGTGCAGTGACAATGAGATAATTAACTCATTGTTAGCCCTTCTCCTAGTAGCTTCCTAATCATAAAGAAGCCTAAACTCTAGGTCAATGTGGTGTAACATGTTTGCTTTTACGAACAATGGCAGTTTAGTAGTGGTTGATGAATGAATGGTACGTGTGGGTCCAGGGTTGAAAATAAATTTTAACCATTCCTGAACATTCCTTTTCATGTATTAGCTAATATGTTAACTAATCATTCCCTATAAACCTGATCTGAGTTCTTTCTCTTGTTAATGTTCTAATACTTTCCAGTGAGTTTTTCTTTGAGAACCGTGCTGCAGCAACAGAAAAGGAGCCAATTGAAACTCTGACTGACTCTCACAAGGGGTGGGTTCCACTTTTTTTTACAATTTTTTATTCATATGGGGTCGGCTAATGTGAGGGTAGGTCAGAGCCTCTGTCATTTTTTTTTCTGACAGGGAAGCATTTTTCTTTCTTTTAATATTTTAAAATAGGGTTAATTAATAGATCAATCGAGATCGTTTAAACTACCAAAGTAAGGACTCGATACTTCAATAAATATGCAACAGAAGTGATTAATAAGAGTCAGTGATTAGATCTGCATATGTTAGGAACCCGTAAGCAGTTAGTTGATAAGTTTACAACTTAGGTTAATAACAACGACTATTAACCTTAAAATCTCACCTTTTTTGTCCAATTTTCACGCAAGACCTTTTTTTTAACGTTGTTTTATATTTAAGCAAATAAAATTCAATCTAAAGTTGGTCATGATGTTGAAGTATTTGGCGGGAATGANTATACAATCGTGTTACATCTTTCTTGCCGGTGGCCTGAACGGAAACGTCTCGTGCCTTTGAGCCACTCCCACGCCCATTGCTTGGAGCCATCATGACCGTCTATCGACATTAGCGTGTTGGATCAAGCTTGCGTGTGCACGAGTGGGCCCGGCATCTGTTGGCAACATATTTTGGGGTCAACAGAAGCCGACATCATTTTTATGAGTTAGTAGCCAAAATTAGACAATTCAAACTTCAATGAGTAATCTAAGACGTTTTCAAAGTTTAGTGAACAATTAAAGACGCAATAATTTGTTAGTGACGTGACGGGGCGTAACATGTGCATTCCATTAGCAACGTCTATATATAATTTCGTTAACGATTTGAAACGAATGTTATACCAATGAGTAATGTCTAATGTTTGGATAAGTTAAGTGGTCTCGACATCTTAAACTTCAGTGAGCATTCGAAAACACATATATAAGTGCAGTGACAATGAGATAATTAACTCGTTGTTAGCCCTTCTCCTAGTCACTTCCTAATCATAAAGAAGCCTAAGCGCTAGGTCAATGTGGTGTAACATGTTTGCTTTTACGAACAATGGCATTTTAGTAGTGATTGATGAATGAATAGTACGTGTGGGTCCAGGGTTGAAAATAAATTTTAACCATTCCTGAACATGCCTTCTCATGTATTAGCTAATATGTTAACTACTCATTCCCTATATACTTGATCTGAGTTCTTTCTCTTGTTAATGTTCTAATACTTTCCAGTGAGCTTTTCTTTGAGAACCGTGCTGTAGCAACAGAAAAGGAGCCAACCGAAGCTCTGACTGACTCTCACAATAGGGGGTGGGGTCCACTTTTTTTTGCAATTTTTTATTCATGTGGGGTCGGCTCATGTGAGGGTAGTTCAGAGCCTCCGTCATTTTATTTTTCTGGCAGGGAAGCATTTTTCTTTCTTTTAATATTTTAAAATAGGGTTAACTAATAGACCAATCGAGATCGTTTAAACTACCAAAGTAAGGACTCGATACTTCAATAAATATGCAACAAAAGTGATTAATAAGAGTCAGTGATTAGATCTGCATATGTTAGGAACCCGTAAGCAGTTAGTTGATGAGTTTACAACTTAGGTTAATAACAACGACTATTAACCTTAAAATCTCACCTTTTTTGTCCAATTTTCACGCAAGACCTTTTTTTTAACATTGTTTTATATTTAAGCAAATAAAATTCAATCTAAAGTTGGTCATAATGTTGAAGTATTTGGCGGGAATGATGATCACCCGCCACCTTTAACCACCGTCCCCAACCCCACAGCACCTCCACCTCCCGTCCTCCTCCGCCATCATCCACCTTAAAAGCTTATATTTCAAGACACGTTTAATCAATAACCTTTCACCAACTGCACCTTACAAAATTCTTGCTTTATCTTTATCCTTCCATTCATTTCCCACATTGTCAAATCTGAATTTTGCCAATGGATGACAATTCGAGATTCGGGCCTTCATCCCGGTTCAAATTCGGATTATTTTTTGTGATTTTAATCTGTTTTGTAGAATCAATTATTTTTGTAGAAGCACAAAATCTTGATGAGCATGGCTTTAAAGAGCTTTGCAATATGGATCTCGCCTCATTTCTTCCTCTTCCTTATGGCAGTCTACCAAATATGGTTTGTAAACCTGTTTGGAATTCATACCTGCTAAGGGTAAGTTCATGTAAATCTTGCATTTTCTAATACTAATCTTTGAATATATTTCAAGTTTTATATATACTCTAAAATTATATAATGACATCAAATTGGGGAATGTGTTTTCAATTCTTAAAGTCGAGCTTCTTCGGATTTAGATAGAAACGTGAAATCAAACAATTTCTTGTAAACCAGTCACTTGAACAGCTTACAATGGTTATACTGCCAGGTACTTGTAGATTCAAGGCTATAAAGAAGAGGTTATAGTCGAGTCATTTTGTCCAGGCTGTTGGATTGTATAGAGCCTAATTATACTACTTATTTCTTTATATTAAGCCTCTGTTTGATTTAGCTAAAAATATATTTTTTGTAGTTTTTGATAAAAGTTGAAGAAACGTGTAATTGAAAATTTGATAAAAGTTATGGATCCTTTAAAATGTGTGGTTGAAATGAGTTCTAAAAGGGACCAGACAGGGACTAGGTCTTCCCAGATTCCCACACTATATAAAGGAGTTTGAGGGAGCCATTTTTGTGTGGTCCGACGGGCAAAGTACTCATTTTTCAGTGTGAATCTCCACTGTGAACTCCTTGATTTTTAATATGAAGCAATTAGTCGTTGTACTCGTATTGATGGTGAATCACTATTGTTTCAATGTTTGTTTGTTCATTATTGATCTCTAACACCTTCCAAGTCTATTAGGTGGCTAAGCCGACAATGAATTAAGCTTGTTGTTTTGTATTGCAGTACTCCCAAGCCAAGGACAATGTGATTACCATTGTATTGTCAACTATATACACCAGTGGATGGGTAGGAATGGGATTTTCCAGTAATGGAAAGATGATCAATTCTAGTTGCATGGTAGGATGGGTGAACATGGAAGGCCGAGCTCGAATAAAACAGTATCATATAAAGGGATTCAAACCCTCAGAAATCAAACCAGACGAAGGTCACTTGCCACTCACCAGTGTTCCACCATTGGTCGTGGTTCGTGAAGCCACAATGTACATGGCATTCCAGCTTAAGTTCAACACAACTCTCAAAACACAGCCGATTTTACTCGCTTTTAGCAGTAAACATCCCCACCATCTCCGGCTTACTGTTCATGATGACAAGATGAGCATGAATTTTGATTTCTCCTCAGGTTTTTTCTTTTCTCATTTCCTTGTCTATCCATGAAAATCTGAGGCATGTTTGATAGCAAAGAGTAGATGGCACTGGGCATACTAAATAAGAAAAGAAGCTAAAATCTTGCTTATTTTACTGTCTAGCCATGTTAAATACTTCTTATCACACATGCTTTAACAGTTTTCGCTCTTATTGCCAAGAGATTTTTTGAAAAGTAAAGTTTATTGCTAAAGAAAGTATAGATTTTGAAAGGAGGGAGAGAATCGACATGAAACCTCTGCTATATTGGGTGTTACTCCACGTATGACTTGACGTGAAAGAGAGAAGGATTTGTTTGTGTAGTTTATTGAATCTTTATTATGACTTATAAAAATAATTTGATAAATCAAGAACTCTTGACAACAGCTTCAAAACTGTATGGTTTTAAGATACTATTATTTCCTCGTAAAAGTTTTAAGTTTGCAGAAAAATTGAATATAAATTGGAAAACCTTATTTCCCATTCATTCATGAATTGGAGAAAATGGCAGTTTAAATTAGGGGGGCTCGTCTCTCTTCCACCAAATATGTAACTAAGAAAGATTGAGAAAAGAAAGAACAGAAGAAAACAGAACTGTTATCAACAAGGATGTGAAACAGAACCAAATCATTTGCATGTGTTGTTCGCAATAAGAGAGTAGAAATTCGATACAGTGAAATCAAGTAATCAATAGTTCTGTAAATCACTATTTTATAATACTTAATTAGATTAATATCACAAAAGTTTATAAAAATAGCACGAGTTTGAGACAGGGATAGGTGGTCTATACGAGTCACTAGCGTATCATTTGGGATGCAAAATCGTGCTCATTAATTTTAAGCTTCAGCATTCTTGTACAATCAGGAAAGGAAGATTTTCATCTTAAAGTTCTAGTTAATATATCTTTACAGCCTTTCACTTGAAACCTCAAGACATTTTGCCTGTTAATATAATCTGATTTTTTTTTCATGTTTTTGGCAAACTTTTCATCACAGGAAATGCGGATAGCAATGTCGCTTCATCCCCTAGCATTATCAAAAACAAGAAGACTCATGGAGTATTGGCTATTCTGGCATGGGGTCTGTTTCTCCCTTTTGGAGCAATTTTTGCAAGATACCTTAAGCATAAGGATCCCCTGTGGTATTACCTTCATGTAGTCATTCAGTTCATTGGATTTTTATTTGGAATTGCTGCAGTGGTTGTTGGATTTTCACTCAACCACAGGCTGCACAATTACATTCCCGCACACAAAGGCATTGGAATTTTCATTCTCACACTCACCATTCTTCAGGTTCGTGCATGATCAATTAACTTAATCAAGTATTATATCCAGCATTAGCCTCTTTTTCGAGTCATTTTTAAAGTCCCATGTTATAGAATTTATTTGGATTGAACTTATCAAACCATGTTTAGATTTGGCTGGTAGACTCAAATTAGCTCTGGATATAGATGGAGATGTATTTTCCTTTTGCTACTAAGAAGATGTATTTTTATCCATATCGCTCTTCTTATAAGCTGATTTTAAAGGTAAGTTTTACTCAATATGATTATATCACATGTCAAAATCTATTTGCAACCACTCAATCTAGTATAGAAGAATCCCTCAACAGGAAGCTAAAGTTTACCTAGCTAAAGATCTCAAACCTCATTTCCTTGTTATAAACTATTCTGTTTACTGCCTTGAGTCCAAAAACTGGTGAAAGGATGACGTCTTTTGTCATTTTACATCCAGGTCACTGCGTTCTTTACACGACCTAGTAAGGACAGCAAATATCGCAAGTATTGGAGCTGGTCGCACAACTGGTTTGGGAGGATTAGCCTTTTCTTTGCAGCAGTGAATATAGTTCTCGGAATACATATTGCAGGATCTGGACAAGATTGGAAAATTGGCTATGGATTTCTTGTTGGTTCGACATTGATTATATGCATTGTTTTCGAAGCACTGTCAAGGATTAAAAAGTCAGAAGATCCATCATTCCCATCAACTTACCCAATGAATTCACTATAGCAAGTGGTGTTTATGTAAGATAATTTGTGGTAGGCTCTCTTCCTCCCTTTTGATTTTAAGCTGAATATAGATTATACATAACTTCATATTGCTCTTTGTTTCATATCAAATGACCGTACAAACTTTCAGCACAACGAGTAAACCTGTGAAATTTTTCGATTTAGAAGACATGAAAGTAATACCAAGTACTATATATGGAGATATGTACATTTATATACTTCTCACTTGAAGTTTTTTTTTTAAACAGTGAAACTAGGATTTACACTAGGCGTTGCATCTGAAGAGAATTTTTTGGTGATGCACTTGGAAGCATTGGACTAGGTTCAGCTGGTGCTCCGGCTACTCTCCACGACATAAAAGCTAAAAACATAGGCTTCCGGAGCAAAAAATCCCCCAGCCCCGACTCTGTCTTATCCAACCACTATACAGAACTATCTCCCTCACCAGGGAAAAAAAGAAAAAAGTAAAAAGGATTAAAGGAATTTTTGTTTGCTGATTGATATTTTATATGTACTTTTATCTGTTGAGAGTGTTTCTTAGCATATGCAATACCAGTTTGCTGTAAACCACGCATTTGTGCAAATAGTTTTTTGCCCCTCCCATCTTCTGGTGTCTAGCATGTTTGGATAGTCAGAACATTTTCGAAATTATTTTGTAGTTGAGGTTGATCCGTCGTCTATAAGTTCATTTTGAAAATGGAGATGGTACATGGTTTTTTGAAGGAAACGAGCATAGCATCGCATGGAGTAGGAGAAAGCAGTGAGCTCACTGCATGGTCTCGCTCGAGTGAGCTGACCTAAGGTTGTGAGCTCTTGCTCACCTCATAGTTTCGCTCGCGCAGGTGCTCATGGTGTGTTTTTTGATTGTTTGGACAGTTTCTGATAGTCCTAAACAGTCTGAATTAATTCAAATTTAAATCTAAAAGCCACACATGAATAGTTGTAACTCTAAGTTGCATGAAAATCTATAAATAGAAAAAATCAGATTTGATATACAATTGTTACTATGTTACGTCCCTCTCCACTTGCATCTCAAAATTCGATTTTGTGCATTTTTTTTCTCTACAAATAATTGTTTATACTTTGTCAGATACAAATAAACCTCGAGTATAAATTTCTTCACTTTTTCAGTGTTCGAGTTGTCTTTATGTTTACACCATGCAGACAAGACTTTAGGCTTCATTAATTGTATGTTCGAGTCTCGTTTTTGCATAATTGCATTTCCACGTGCATTAGAAGTCTGGTAGGGGCAAATAACGTTTTAAGGAAAGCGACATTATAATGTGCCTTGATGTCGATTTTGATGAATTCAAGTTCATACAGTTTCCAACTTCTCATTCTTGTACTCAAATTCTCAAACTCGAGAGATTAGTATCCATCATGGATAAGCTGAAAAGAGAATTACTTTTTTTTTTTGCCGAACTTCTTTGAAGTTTTCAAATAACTTGCCTTTTTCTTTGATTCCAAGTACAAAATCTTACATTTTTTTAGTATGAGTTAAGCTTGGCAAATCAACATCCTTCAATCCAAGGGTCGTTAAAATGGTGATTTTCGGGCTCAGTTTCATGTTACTTTTCTCTAACAAACAAACAATTCAAACGACTCCAATTCACAACTAATATATTCACCTCGATTACTCCTCAATCTCAACCACAAAAGACAAGATAACGGTAATGATTTGTAGCCATTAATGCAAGAAAGAAAAGCAATGAAAAAATGGCACAAGAGAGGAGCAAAACACAAAATTAACAACCGATTTTCTAAGGCAGCCAATTTTTCCCCTCTACTAAGCCACAAGTTTTTCTCCTTTCAAACACACAAACACACACTTTACAGCCAGGGTAAAGACACCATATATATAGGCTATATTAGGATTTAGTTGGACCAATAAAAAGTTTAAACATGCCAAGTTTCAAAGCCATCAAAGAGGTAATATATATATGGATCGTGAGCAGCATTAATTCTTTAAGTTACTTACAATGACCCGTGTTATTTTTCGTGTCGAACATTTGGACTTTGTTTTTGGTAACAATTTAATCCAACGTTTACATCTTAACCCGAAATTAATTGGATATCAAAACCCAACATTCCGTCCAACCTACTTTAGTCTTAGATGAAAAGAAAGACACTTAAATAGCTATCTTTATTCAGATCTGTTCTGCATGAGGAGTGTCCATCAGAGGGGCCCCTGGTAAACACAAATAAGCTAGACCACTAACTATACATCAATTAACATATATATTTATAATCTGAATAAAATGAACCATGGGAAAGAATGTCAAAGATGTTGCCTTTTTGCCCTAGTATAAGATCAAACAGTTGAATAGGATAACGACACAAGATTCTAATCAGGATGCATTACAGAAAACAAGGATAAAGTAATGGGAAAGGAAAACCTTAGTATATTTTGTAAGCCGGATTCTAAGATGACTCAAGTCAGCATCTTTGAATACGATCGTTGATATCATTGAAAGAGGTCTCGTCAAACTTAGGATGGAACGAAGGCCTTTATCAGCAAACTTAGAAAAGAAACAGGATTTTCTTTTACCTACAGCATAGAAATGTTTCTATGGAAAGTTATAGACAGGTTCACATCAATAAATTATTACATAAGGGCTTTAAGTAAATATCGGAAGAGAGCACACCAGCAACAAACCTCAAGGGCAAAAGTGATGTTCGTATCTGTTCAAGAAACCATGAAAATGTTAGAAAGAAAGAAATATGGAAGGTTTTCAACCTACGACAAATAATTTAATGCTGCTCTTGTGAATTTTTAGCCTGCTGTATCTACCTCTGTGAGGTGTTGTCTAACCAAGCAATGATTATCAAATTCAACTGGGCATACAAATAGGCATATGTATACACAACACTCAATTACCTACTTCTATGATATCATCAGTATCTACAGACTACAAATATTGTAAGAATAAAACAATTTCTGCTATTTGCATTGATGTCCTTTGATCGCGAGGTCAAAAACCAAAAAGATACAATTCACCCATGTAGTAATCAAGACACAAAGATTAATGGTCAGAAAGAAGTTACTCACAAAAATGTAGGAGTAGGCTGCATCTTTTGTGATTATTATTCTCAAAGATCTTTGCAACATATCTCCCAATCAACTAATTAATTTACCTAAGGGAATAACTAAACTGTAATGTTCAACTTATAAACCATTCACGTAGAAACAAATCCAAGTTAAATTTCCACACCTGAAAGGCACCAAGTATAATTGTGAAAAGTTAGCAAGACATTTAACAAGGTACCAACCATAATAAAACCAGAGCAGTACAGTTAACTTTTATGATTATGTTCACACAGTAATATTTAGGACAAGTCATTAACTTACCAACTATCATGACAACATTAAACCTAAATTACACAATGAAACTAATTTGTCAACAAAAAGAAAAACATAACTTTAGTTTTCGAATTACAAATTGAAAACCAATTCATCTAATAATGGAGTCATGCCGGGTGAGAAGTGCAGCTGCATCTTCCTCCTTCTCCACCGTCCTCCGCCGCTATCTCCTTCATCCCGATCTCCCTCCTCCTATGGCTGTTGTGCGATACCATAAAAGTATAATTCTTTGAAATAAAAGAAAAGACTGCGCATTCAAATTTGCTCACACTGAACTCCAGTATATTTCAAAACAGGAAAAAGAGCAATTTCCAATAACCCAACAAATTTACAACAATTCCTGACTACATAACCCATGACAAGCAAAACCATTCGAGGGATTCTTTTCGAATTCTAAATTCAATTTGGTACCCTTTACAATCTTGCTTGGATGTAGTTCTTCTTTTTGTTTCCCATCCCACTTGGTTCTTTCTGTTTTCTTCAAGGTTCCGTAGAGTACCAGAATCGAATCAGAAGTTCAGAAAAATTTCTCTATAAAAACAAATTAATCCTAACCTCTCTAAGAAACAGCACAATCCTGAAACCCATAATAATGAAGTATGTATAACAACATGAAATGCACAAACAGTTACAAAAAATTGAGGTAAATTCTAGCCAATTACTAAATGAGGAGCACTTGTTCTTCATCAAATCGCCCCCTCTTCCATTGCCATTGCCACCGGTCGATATCGTTATACTTCTCATGCCGGGTGAGAAGTGCAGCTGCATCTTCCTCCTTCTCCACCGTCCTCCGCCGCTATCTCCTTCATCCCGATCTCCCTCCTCCTCAATTCACAATAATTATTATTATCGCTA